AATCCTAATTAACATTGTTAACTCAAGACCAACTGCAAAATTTGTTGGAAGGTTGGCAATACCATTGACAGGAATCACGCAACCACGTGTTCCAACAAATGTGGGTTCTTCATGTCCATGGCTACAAAGTGCCATCAGTGTATTCAGTAATTCTATCTTCTGTTGACTTTAAAGGAAGCTCGTCAGGACTTTGCAATGGGTGGAGCATTCTTCAAACATCACCCTTGAGAGTATGACAAAGAGCAGATGTAAGAACCTATTTAATTACATTCAATTTTGCTAATACAGAAAGGGGACCTACAGGGATATAGAAGGACAATCTACATAGGTAAACATGTTTAAAATAGAAAATCACAGTTAATAAATATTTCATTTTTTTAATGACAAAAAACCCCACATAATTACCACTGTAGTGGAAATAGCTTACTGTGATTGGGCACTAGTAAGAAAAACATAATTATTCTAAGTTTCATGTCACAAGAATAACTTGCAATGCAGTTCATGACAAAATTGATAAAAACAAAGAAAAAATACAGCTACACTGTTATTTCTATTGTGTTACCAATAAGAAATGGCAAGAAATACTCAGCAAAGGTAACGGCTTGTTAAATTTATGTACTGCAATTTTTATCATATTCATTATGAAGTCAGAATCTATCAGATTGTTAAAATAAAAACAGACAAGGAAACAATTGTGTTATATATATAAATTTTTTAAACTGAACTTTAGTGTGTTCAGTTTGTTTAGTTTTAGTTTGAAAGTTCTGAAGTTGCCACCACCTCAGATTTATTTCTTGCTGTGTTTTACACTGGAATCTCTTGCAACAAGCAACTTGTAGGTGAAGACAACATCATTCATACCATGACAAGAAGGGCAAGGACTTGACTGCTGTGGGTTGTTTGTTTTTTTTCAAAATTATGAGAATCATGTAGAAGAAATTTCCTTAAAAAAAAAAAAAAAAAGCCCACATGCATAAGAAGTTACTTGACTAGTTATTCATATTATTGTCATGTATAACAAGCTGATTAAAAGCTCAATATTTTATAGCCATGGAGGTTTAGAGTTCATGCTTTCTTTCTTCAAACCGTATATGGCAACTAACTTAATTGAAACCAAATAAATTTACTTTATTTTCTCAAGCCCACTCTTATGTTGACAAATAGGGTTATATTTGAGTCACATGGATATTACTGGTACCACAAGGAAAAAAAAGCTTTTTTTTTACTAAAGCAAAAAGCTATGTTTTGAAGTTGGCAGTATGCATAACATTCTACCGTCAGAGAAAGATAGACAATAATTGTAATAATAATAGAAATAATTATTATATTTTAATAATAACAGCAAATTAACATTACTAGTAATTATTGATTATTAAAATATCCTAACTTGTTTAACTGTCTTTTCTTTGAATTTTTTTTGCTAAGATAGTAACATTATTTTATTCAAATGAACTGCTTAGTTCTCATGTGGATTGCATGTTTGTATAAATGAAATGTTTTCCTACAAGAAGCAAGGAGAAATAGTCATATTTGGGTATCTTTCTATAGCAAAATATACTCAGTCAACTGTGAGCCAAAAATATAGAAAAATTATACAGCATAGAGTAATACCATACATTTTTTATCACCCAATGATTTTCCTGAATGTCAGTTTTATAGCAAAGGTACCCAACAGACACACTTCCCCCAAAAAAAGATATAATGTAGGTATACCTACATAAATGTACATATACTTATATAGTATTTTGTAGGCAGATCAGACTCCTTGTTCCTGAGTTTAAAGCATGCACACACTCATCGTGCCCATATTTTGGGCTGACCAGAAGCTGTGTAACTGCATTAATTCTAGAGCTAATATACCGTGGCTCTCAACAGGGCTAATTAGTTTGGGTTCAGCCCCATGTTATAGCTCCAGATTGGCTTGGAAAATAATCAAAGCAAGCTCACATCTGTCTGTGTAAGACTATGTGTGCATACCTGGTAACAGTAACAACAAATAATGCATACTAATTCAGAGTTTTATAACCATTTCTTCCGTTTTTTGGGGGGTTTTTTTGTGGGTTTGTTTGGGGGGTTTTTTGGTTGGTTTTTTTTTTTGTTTGTTTGGGCTTGGAAAATAATCAAAGCAAGCTCACATCTGTCTGTGTAAGACTATGTGTGCATACCTGGTAACAGTAACAACAAATAATGCATACTAATTCAGAGTTTTATAACCATTTCTTCCGTTTTTTGGGGGGTTTTTTTGTGGGTTTGTTTGGGGGGTTTTTTGGTTGGTTTTTTTTTTTGTTTGTTTGTTTTTTTTCCTGTTTATAACAGTAACAGTTTATGGAAGAAATAAGTGTTTGAATTGCAAGTTAAATCATGAAAAAGACAAAACATGTTGACTTCATCATGGGCCATGGTATGATATACAAACTAGACACTCCTGTACATTCATGGAACTAGCATTCTTAGGTTTACTTTCTGAAATGTAAAATGATTCTAGCAGTTAGGAACAGGTACAACCTTATATATACATAAAATCTGTGGAATAAGAAGTGCAAATTCTGCAATCAATAAAGGATTCATAGACTTTAGGGCCAGAAAGGATCACTCTATCATCTGCTACATTGTGCAATGCTCCGATATTTTATCCACTCCCTGTTCAACCTGTAACATGCTTCTGAGATGGGTTTCTGGGCTTTAGCTTATGGGAGTGGTAAAGGGGACATGCCTTTCTTTACTAAAATTAAGGAGTGACAATTTCCTTCCTGTCAATAAGTAAACACCCTTTTCTCACTCCTTTTGCCTTTAGTGAAACGAAGAGATTCAAACTGTAGGATATATTTGAAACAATGAATGCAAATACATATTTTGCAATGCTGTCCATATAACCTGCTGGAACATTTGCAGCCTTGATGGATGAGGTGGCTCAGCTCCATCACTGCACCTTATTATGCATGGCAAGAAGGGAGGAGATTGTAGAATACTTTGCCAGGTCATCTCTACAACTCATTGGGTCTTAGTTAATACATAAGTCCAGCTCATCAACCTCCCCTTTTCATGTACTATACCTGGATTATATTTCTTACATAATTCATTCAAAAGTGTTGACTTTTTCTGCCTGGTTCTACTGGGACATAATGGTCAGTAATTGGTCAATTGGTCAGTAATCCAATTAACTACCCTTTGAAGACAGCAAGAGGTGGCTGTAGTCAGATCAGAAGACCAGGCATATAGAGAGTAAAATGTCAGGGAGAGCATCAAATTCCACACTGTAAATAATTTGCCCTGTATCTTAGCAAGATACCAACTTCCATACCTATGTGCAATTGCAAAATACAGACTTTGATTGCAGTAAGTAGTTTTTGTCATATATATTTTTGCTGGTTTTCAGGTTGTCTGTAGATTTTGCATTGATTTACATGCATTCATGTTTCAAAATACTGCCTACAAAAGTTGTTCTTGGAGCACAGTTCTGTAACAAAGGGAAAATTATTTGAGCTGAGTCCTAGTATTCACAAACCATCTCACCAAGCAAAACCAAGCATGTTTCTGTTCTGCAAAACACTGCTAGCTAAATTCTCATTCTGTAAAATTAGAAGACCATATGTGTCACAATATAATAGTTACTGCTGTCTTCTACCATCTGTCCTCCAGGTGGATGGATGAAACTACTTGCAATTCCTTAAAAATGTGTTACAGTTTGATGAACCAGTATTATCAGAACTAAGCTTACCAAAATCTTTTTAGACCACAGCTCACGCAATGTCTCTAACCAGAAAATTTTTGTACTCCAGGTAAACTTATTGATGGTTCTGCATTTGTTTAATTACATTGCTCTGTTCAAAACAGTAATTTCCAATTTTCTACAGTTTAAAATTATATAAAAACACTGCACAGATAACTCTCCATATTATACATTATGTCTGGACAAATCCATTATTATGAACTCATTCAGTTATTCACTAGCTCCCCTGTCTAAAAGTCACTCAGAAAACTTTAAATGCTATTTTTACTAATAGTTTACTATAATGCTTTTTTTTTTTTTTATAAAATTACTTAAATTTTGCTTGCAAAGTGAGTTTTTATAACTGAAAACCATTTAATTAAACTATATTTCTATTTATTGGATAGATCACAAACGGCTCCCAAACAGAGAGAAGGATTAAATATTCTATCATGGTACTTTTCCTGCATTCTTCTTAGTGCATAGTAGCATTCCCTGATTTCACATTAATTCCTTATTCATATGAAGAACAAGCAGTCATCAAACATTTATAGATACAGAATCTTTTTTTTTTTTACAAAAGTTCACAAAAAGGGACTAAAGACTGGCAAACCCACAAGAGTTACCAAACGTATCAATTTTGTATAAGATATACCTACTGCCATATTCACCTGTCTGTGAAGCAGCTTACATAAGGAAGCTTGAAAAAATATACCACTTTTATCAATACAAAATAAATTAGCCAATAAATATTTATTTTGGGGGGGGGGATTTCTGTGTGATAACAATGATGCTAAATAAGCTGATTCAGGTAGTTCTAGCAAAAGCTTTAGCCGAAAACCTGCATTCACAACCTATCCTAAAAACAACCAGAACACAGCATCAATCCAAACATTAGCTCAATTAAAAAAAGGGGAAAAAAAAATATGAAATCCCTTCTGAGCTTAATAACTTGTTACTTCTTGACAAGTACGACAACACAACAATAAGCCAGTCAAAATGAGTTTTTAAAGCGAGGTTATGCCCTTCGTGTTGTGTTATCACAGTGGCAGATCAAACTGCTGACTTGGACTCTTTCTGCCAGCAGTGCTGATGCTGCCTCTATGAAGCTGCTGTCACGTAATAGTCATGGTACCTGCTCTTGCCTATAGAAAAGCACTAAATTGAACTCGAAGTAGTGTCTTTGTGATATCTTTTCGACAAGTCATGTCCCATTCAGCCTGCTAGTTTATCTCTGTCAGGCTGGGGGCCCAAGTGGTTTGCATGAGCTGTCAGGGACAGGTACACCAACCTGCTCAGTGCTAAGGAGGTAATGCATCTTTCGTGCTTGGTATTTCTTTTCCTTTTCTTTCTTTTCTAGGTCTTTCCTTCTGTCTTCATATTCCTTCATTTCTGCATACTCCTGGAGTTTATTCCTGTAATTAAAAAAGTCTGCTAATGATATTACAACAATAAAAGACAATGCTAATGTTTTACTTTATTTTAACCCTTCTGTAGCTTCACAGTGATCTGCTATTGTGTATTAGCAGTACACTGCCAACACAGGTATGCAAAATTACAGTACATACAGTTTCACAGCAACAGGATTCTATACATCTATAACTGTGAAGAAACAGGATTCAAATGATAAAATCTGTGAACAATATGTTAGCTCATATTGCTTACTTCTTTGAAGAATATGTCAACCTATGTATTTTTATAGTTTGGTTAGCATTCAAAGCTGTTGTCTTTTTTGTCTTCAAGAATAATTTCAGTTTGAATTTCTCTATGTAGAAGTTATTATAATGGAGTAATTTTCCTTCAGATGGTTTCAAAATAAAAATTGTTCATTTATGTTTCACCTACTGTATTGCAACACCTCCTGATCTGCAAACTGGGGAGACCTTATGGAAGACGACAATAGACACAGGGTAAGGACTGACATTCATTCCTAGATGCTCCAGCCTTTTGTAAGGTTGACAACGTAGGCATAGAGAAGACACTTTTATGTGTGCCATGTCCTTAAGATGAGTTCTATTAGGCTTCTTGCACAGACCCTTTCTACATTGGTCTGATAGCAATGGTACAGGTGACAAGAATCAGGAAAGAAACTGCCTCATCAGCCACTGAATGATAGAGGTTTGCAAACACTCAGTGTCATCTAAATGGGTGGGTCTGTGCATTCAATAGGTTGTAGAAAATTCTTTCATTGTAAAAGAAAGGGGGAACTGTACCTAATGCCAGCTCTAAAAGAATGGAGAAAACTCATTATTTCAACTGAATGTTTAGAGGAAAGCTTTAAGAGAAAATGGGAGCAGATCTTCTCCTCAATCACTTTTTTTCATAGAGCCATGTTTGTCATAAATTATGCAAACAGTGGAGTGAATTAATGTTCTATAAGAAACAAAATTCTGTGCTATTGTGCACAGTGCATGTGTATGGAATTTTTTGACCCAGTTAAAAAAGGTTGGTTTGATTAACATTTGTTATTTTTGCTATTAACAAATTACTAGTTCAAATTAACCTGTGTGCCAAAGACACCAAGCATATTCAGCCAAGCATTTAAATTGTTTAAAAGTTCACTGAGTAAATTTAAGTCTTTTTTTTTTAAGCATGTGTGTATACGATAAAATAAAAAAGTAAAGAAAAATATACTATTCACATATACAGATAATTCCAATATTCCAGCAAAACCGAGTATTTAGAGAGATCCACATTAACTTGTCTCAGTTGTTTCAACGAGTACCAAATAAGACCCTCTAGGACAGGGGTCAAATCCTGTCAAAATATGCACATCAATAAGTTTGCTGAGATGAATAATCCCATGGGAAAGCCATATTGCTCCTGAAAGCGCTTCAAAGATTGTGACTCAGACTTATTTTTAATATTTTAGTTATTCTAATGTTAAATTAGTACATCAAAATATATGAGAGCAATAATTGCTTTATAAATATGAACACTATGAAATCAAATTCTTAAATACCATTTAATATGTCAAATTTTTCTTTCATGCCATCTTTTTAGTTTTGCAATTTAAAAAAAAGTAAAAAATTAATTAAATATATTTTATTTCAGATGTAAAAAAATAATGAAATGAGAATAAATTAAAGACTGGAAAAGACATATAGGTCTGCTTCCATGTCTGGAAATACTTTTTGTTGCAGTTTACTGTTAAGGGCTGCTAATACAATATTTCATACAAGGTTACTTATGAAGCACACTGACGTTTAAAAATCACCATGCTATGCTTTTGCAGCAGTGTAATTTTTTTCCAACATAAGATTAAATTGCAAAATAAATGAATTACTTAGAGTGGCATGGCCCCCATTTTGCCACCCTTCTCTTGAAAATTGCTTATTAATATGAAAAAAGAAGTTGGAAAATAGCCTGTTTTACTTTATGCATAGCGTTTAGGGGCCTCCAAGCCTGCAGAGCTGGACTAGCTGCACATTTTAGATTGTGTTGGCAAGCGGGGACGATGACCTTTTTGACCTGCATCTCAAGGCTATTATTAATCGCTAAGTAACCTGGTAAAGCCAAACAAATTTGTTTCCATTGAAAGGATCTCTATCTGTGTCTAAGAATTTGTGCTGTACCAAACAAACCTCATTAAGTGTGTCCATTTTTGACAAAGAACTAGGAGTTGGAGAGATTGGCGACCTTTCTTTGTCCTTACAGTACAGATTTCAGAGTCACTGCATGTAGGTACATAAGCATTTTTACTTGGAAACTTTGTTCTATATCTATCAGTCATAAACAAATGAATAAATAAAAAATGCATATAGTATTGACTTTGTTCTTTTATTTTATGCCACTTTACTTTCAATATCAGAGTATATGATCCAAGAGTTGCATATTTAAAATTATTGTTTATTCCTTTTTTATTAGAGTCCTCTATGTAGCTTTAGTACTGCTATCTATAACTGATGGTGTCTATCAACATATCACTACCGTTTATTCATATTCTTATTTACTTCTGCTCTTCCTCTCAAAACTGGATATGGAAGCTTTGTTGTTTTGAACACAACTAGTGAGGAAAACCTTAAAATAATTATAAAAATGAAAGCTTGTATTACAGATCTAATGATAATGGGATGCAAAATGTTTCCCATTGTCATTAATCTGAATTTACCAGATTACTTTGAATGAATGTTTAATAATCATTATTTGCTGAAATTAATTGAAGTCTAAAATACCTGTTGAAGTTAAATGCAGTTACTGATTTTTTAGACAGTACTCTCATCCAAATCATTGAGATCCTTCCTGACTATCACATATCCTCATTAATGCTATACCAAAATCCATTTAAAAGTTTGAATTTTTGTAAGCAGTTACAAATAATTTTCAACATACTTTTGCAGCCTACACATTTTGTCAGTTGTGCTAAAGTATTTCTCATTCATTACATTGCTCTGTACAGTTGTACAGAACATGCAGACAATTCTGTCCCTGGGATAATAGCTCCCAAGATGATTCTCTCTGGAGAGGCAGTACAAAATGAGGAGCATGCAGTAGTCCAAACGTTGCTTGACTGGAAAGCACAGAGGTTTTAGCATAAAACCAGAATTAATCTAGAGCTATTTGAACCCGAAACTTTCATCTCTTTTACCACACTTTCAAGAATTTGAATAGGAGCAACAAAAGGAGAGAATCTAAAAATAGCTGGATGTGAATATACTATTTCACACATTAGCAGATTAATACCAACACATTATTCACTGTGCAGCAGGTTTCACTGTTACCATACAGAAAAATTAGTACAACATAGGTGATACTAAAGACACAGACAGAGTTAGATTTCCGGATAGCTTATATGTGAATGTGTTTATTGAGAAGTTTCATGCTTACAGCATACTACATGTATGCCTGGCCAGAGAAAGTAAATCCAAATTCCATTAAATGCAATTGAAAATTCACGGAACTTAAATTATCTTTGGATTAAACCCTTATGCTTACTGCCAGCCTTCTCTTTGTTTGTATAGATCTTAGGTTCATTGAGCAACAGTATGCAATATATTCTTGGGACAATATGATATCATTAATATTAGCTATGATACTCTGTGGACTCTGGACAAAATTTTCTTCAAGGTGAAACTTTCAAGGTTTGGTGTGAAGTTGGGATATCTGAATATAGGCAGATTGTTTTGTCTGTGTCTTTAAATCTTCAACAAATTTTGGGGGAGAAAAGGAGTCATGGAAATGCAAAACATGTTTTAGGTTAATTAATAATCTTGTTCTTTTTTTATAAGCGCATGTTTCATAGTTGGAATAATACTGCTTAATAAACTCTTATACCTGAAAAAGCAGTTACTACTTTTTTTAGTACTCATTATCTTGGAGCTTATCTGAGCATATTAACAGCATCTACTGCATTCTTCCTAGGCACCTGGCTTCCCATAGAAGCTTAGTCAAATCAGAGTTCCTTCCACACAGATTTTTATGGAATATCTTTGCAGAAGAAATATATGTAAGTTTTTACAAACGTAGTGTTTTATTATGATCTGAAAATTGGTCAATAAATAAAAATATTTCATGTTTATTAGTGCAAGTTTAGGATGCTTTCTTTTGTTAAAAAAGTGAATATACTGGAAAACACAAAGTGTGTTTTCCTTGAGATAAGGAACGTTTTGTGTAATTGAAAATAGGCATAGGATAATCAACATATGTGCTCAAATCTCACAACTAAAAATGAACTTGTATAACAAACATGTGAAGTAGCTATTGATTTGGTAATGATAAAATTATTAGCTTTATATAGTTTGGAAAAAAATGTGACATGGTAACTTATTGTTATTCTGAGACTTCATTATGCAGTAGGCAGTGGTGTTAGTTCCAGCTATGAGATGCAAATTCAGTTGACAGAGCTCCCGCTGTCTGTATAAAGGTTAAAAATACACATATAATATTGTTCCTGGCACTTTTGCAAAGGTCTTCAAGTGATGATTTCAGCAATATACTGATTTTCATAATTCTGCATAGAACTGCAGCATTTTACACATTCACACTGACCTACATTCATTGAACTTCATCAAACTATTACATTCTGTTCGCATTTTCACCAGCATTATGTGGTCCTTTAACCAGATAACCATAAAATTATAATACTAACTAAAGTAAAAGGCTTCTGAGAAAATCAGCAATTACTATAGTTGCCTAGAATATCCAGAAA